TTGTTCTTTTTGAGAGTCTCCCACTGTCGCCCAGGCAGGAGTGCAGTAGTGCAATGTTGGCTCACTGCAACCTGTGCCATCTTGGTATAAGCGATTCTCCTGCCTCAGCCTCCCGAGTAGCTGGGATTACAGGTGCCCACCACCATGCCTGACTAATTTTTTGCATTTTTAGTAGAGATAGGGTTTCACTATGTTGGCTAGACTGGTCTTGAACTCCTGACCTTGTGATCTGTCTGCCTCAGCCTCCCAAAGTGCTGGGATTACAGGCATGAGCCACCGCACCCAGCATGTCTCCTACTTTTAATCAAAAATTAGAAGCGATGAATTTAGTGAGAAAGGAATGTTGAAAGCAAAGAAAGGTTGAAAACTCGGTATCTTATGCCAAAGAGTTAGCCAAAGTGTGAATGCAAAGGAAAAGTTCTTGAAGGAAATTAAGAGTGCTACTCCTTTATACACATCAACAAACAATAAGAAAACAAAACAGGCTTATTGCTGATATGAGGCAAGTTTTAGTGGTCTGGATAAAAGATAAATCAACCACAATATTTCGTTAAGCCAAAACCTAATCCAGAATAAGGCTCTAACTTTCTGCAGTTTTACGACTGCTAAGAGAGGTGAGGAAGCCGTAGAAAAAAGTTTTAAAGTTAGCAGAGGATGGTTCATGAGTCTTAAGGAAAAAGCCATCTCCATAACATGCAAGTGGGAGGTGAAGCAGCAAGTGCTGATAGAGAAGCTGCAGCAACTCATCCAGAAGGCCTAGCTAAGATCAATGATGAAGGCGGCTCCACTAAAAACCAATTTCCAATGTAGACAGAACAGCTTTCTACTGGAAGAAGACACCATCTAGGACTTTCATACCGACAGAGAAGTTAATGCTTGGCTTTCAAGCTTCAAAGGACAGACTAAGATCTTGTTAAGGGCTAATGCAGCTGGTGACTTTAAGTTGAAGGCAATGCTCATTTACCATTCTGAAAACTCTAGAGATTTTAAGAATTATGTTGCATTTACTCTGCCTATGCTATGTAAATGAGCACAACAAAGACCGGATGACAGCACATCTATGTACAGCGTTGTTTACTCAATATTTTAAGCCCACTGTTAAGACTTACTGCTCAGAAAAAATGATTTCTTTCAAAATATTATTGCTCATTGATAATTTACCTGGTCACCCAAGTGCTCTGATGGAGACGCACACAAGAGAATTTAAGGAGATGTATGTACAAAGAGACTAATGTTTTTATTCCTGCTAAAATAACAGCCATTCTACAGCCCATGGATCAACGAGTAGTTTTTAAATTCAAGTCTTACCATTTAATAAATACATTTTGTAATGCTATAGTCCCATAGAGGGATTCCTATGGTGAATCTGGGCAAAGTCAATTGAAAATCTTCTGGAAAGGATTCACCATTTCTGATGCCATTAACTATATTCACGATTTATGTAGGAGGTCAAGATATTAATATAAACAGGACTTTGGAAAAAGTCAATTTCAGCTCTCATGGATGACTTGGAGGTGTTCCAAGACTTCAGTGGAGGATGTCACTGCAGATGTGGTACAAATAAGCAAGAGAAATAAAATTAGAAGTGGAGCCTGAAGAGGTGACTGAATTGCTACAATCTCATCATGAAACCTAAATGGATGAGGAGTTGCATCTTAGGGATGAGAAAACAAAGTAGTTTCTAGAGATGGAATCAATGCTGTGAATATTGTTGAAATGACAACAAAGCATTTAGAATATTTCATAAACTCAGTTGATAAAGCAGTGGCAGGATTTCAGAGGATTTATTCCAATTTTGAAAGAAGTTCTACTATGAGTAAAATTCTATGAAACAGCATTACATGCTACAGAGAAATCTTTTGTGAAAGGAAGGGTCAATTAATGTGGAAAACTCATTGGTTTCTTATTTGAAGAAATTGCCACAGTCACCCAGTCTTCAAGCAACCATCACCCTGATGAGTTAGCAGCCTTCATCAAGCCAAGACCCTCCACCAGCAAAAAACATTATGACTGTTGAAGGCTAACGTGATTGTTGGGATTTTTCAGTAATAAAGTATATTTTAGTTAAGGTATGTACATTGTGATTTTTTTCTTACATATAATTATATTACACACTAAAGTGACTACAGCATAGTGTTATAACATAACTTTTATATGCACTGGGCAAACAAAATTCATGTGGCTTGCTTTATTGCAATATTTGCTTTATTGCAATAGTTTGGAACTGATCATGCTATATCTCTGAGGTATGCTGTAAAAACTTCATTTATTTTGGATATTGAGAATCCATCTCTCTTAGTAGAATGTACATTGCTTGAGGATAAAGATCTTTGTTGTATTCACTGATGTATTTCAAATTCCCTGATGTAGTAGTATCAAGTCACATTACAAATATTTAGTAGATCTCTGTTGGAATCGATGAGGAAATTGACAAAGACACTAGGACAGAGTGTCTTCATTTAGGATCACACATGGTGAGACTCAAGTAGCCTGGAACTGCCAAAAAGCATCCTTCAGTTCATGTAGAAACAGCTTTCCTGAGAATAAAGCCACCAAGGGAGAAAGCTAAGCAGGAGACACATCCCTGAGGGCTTTATCTGAGCATAGCTGCCCAGCTGTACCCAAAGCCCCAAGTCTCCAGGGTACATTGAGATAAGTAAAATTCTAATGATTTTTCCTACTTCTCTTCCTTCTCATTCTCTCCCTCTCTTCCTTCTTTTTCTTTCTTCTCCTTCTTTTCCTCATCTTCCTTTTATTTCTCGTTCTCCTTTTTTCCTCCTTCTCCTTTCTTTCTCCTTTCCTTCTCTTTCCTTCTCTTTCTCCTCCTACCTTTTCACATTTAAACTGGAGATAGCTTTCTGTCACTTTTGTTAAGAGACAATTTTCAAAAACAGGTAAAATAATGACTAGAATAGAGACAAAAATTAACATAGATAAGACTTTATTTGACTCATTTATGAGAAAGCTACTGAGGTGTTACAACCAATTCAAAAGGGAATCCAAAGGACAAACACACTTATAGACTGGAAATAGTAAATGTGTAAAATGAGGTAATATTAGCTCTTTCTACGTAGGGGAGGAAAGTTAATTGAAACTGTATAGGACTGAAGAGAATTTGCATGTTCATAGACAATAATTATATTGCATTTCTGTTATCTAAACTTTAGAATTGTAAAATAGCTAATATGGAATCAGTATCAGAGAACCTGATTGGATATGTAATATACAATGATAAAATAGATTAATTTTATATAATAAAAACTACAGATTAACACATTAGTTTCCCATTGCTGCTGTAATACATTAGCACACACTGTGTTTAAACAATACAGTTTTTTTTTTTATAGTTCTAGAGATCGGAATTCCAGAATAGGTCTCACTAGACTAAAAATCAAACTATTGGATTCTCTACAAGATAATTCATTTTCTGATTCTAGAGGTTACCTACACTCCTTGGTTCATGGCCCCCTACACCTCTGTTTTAAAGGACATTTGTGATTGCACTGGGCTCACTCAGGTAATCCTGGATAATCTCTATATTTTAAGGTTAGCTGATTAGCAACCTTATTTCCCTGTACAACTTTCATTTTTCCTTGCCAAACACAATATATCACAAATTCTGGAAATTAAGATGTGAATACCTTTGGTGAACATTATTCTGCTTATGCTAATATCAGATTAGAAATTAACTTTTTAGAAATTAATTTTTATAGATTTTATCTAGTTAAGATTAGAAATTTTAGTTAATTATGATCATATGTAGATAAATTTTGTTACTGACAATTCCTAAAATGAGAAAAGAATAGTGCCCCAGATTTATGTTAATAAAATGACATTTTCGTTAAGGGAAACGCTCATTTCCTTCACACCCTCAAAACATACACACAAAAATTAATTGCCAAACCATAATAATTTATATTTACTCTGTCTTCAAAAATGAAAATGCTCTTATTCTTTCAATCTCTTTCCCAAATGTTTGGATTGAAATACAAAATAAACTTCTTTTCTAGCTAAAATTTTTATGGAATAACTTCTGTTTCTGTCATCTAATAGTGTAGCAAAATGTCCACACATGCACTCCTTTGCAGTTTTAGGAATTTCCTCAAGGCTGCTTGAAAGAAACTGCTTGAAATGTATGCTACTTTTGATAGCAAACAAACCTCAAGGATTCACAAACATCATTCAGTCAGTTAGGGCTAATATAGGTGAAATAAACACTGAGCTCTCAATGAAACAAATTGTTTTACATGTAATTTCATAAAAGGTTAAAAGAGAAAATACTGTATGAGTCTTTTCACAATTCCAAATGCTGCCCTTGAAATAGAGTTTTGTCCATGCAAAGCAATTTATTCCTCAAAACCCCCCACCACCATAATGGAGACTTTTTTTTATAACCTTCAGCAATTTTTGGCTTTTGCAAAGTCATATTGCTAGTCACAGAACAAATTGTGGTTAGATATGTGCTTGTAATCTGCAACCGAGTTTCTCTAAAGCTTTAAAAAGAAGGATAAGTGACATTAAATTAAAAAAAAATTAAATGAAAAAATATAAGGGGAGCACCATCAGTTCTTTGTTATATTAAATATATTCCTTTTAAAACATAATTTTAGTAATTTTCTATCTAAAGCTAGAAAATACTATCTCTTCACTCTAAAGATTAAAAAGAACATAAGAAGATATTTTGTACTTTGTTTCTGCTGAAGCTTTAGTGCATCATTCCCAAATTTTCAAGGCATCAAAAACATTTCCTAGGAAGTATATCTTAATTCCAAACTGATATTTTCCCCTCCTTTCTCCAGAAAAAAAATCTGATGCCATTATAAGCATATTAAGTAAAACAAAAATAAAAAAGGACATCCCCACTTCCCAAATATATATATATCAGTTGGCAATAAGGTGAATACAGGAGAGGAAATCCTCTTTAACATAATTGCCTTTAAATAGCAGAATGATCAGGAAATTCAAAGTTTATGTCAGTCACTGCATTAATACTGTCTTACCTATTTCTTGTTCTTCTATTGGTTACATTATGAAAGGTCCTATCAATAGCACTCCTGTAATAGTTGAGCTGGAGAGTAAGGACTTCAAACTTTGTAGGTACTAGTCGATACTGGCCTTTTCGATCTTCTCAAATCTGTTCTGGAGTTAGGCAAGAAATAAATGGTTAACAAGAAAAAAAAAAACAAAACTAATCTTACTAAGTAAAGAAGAGTGTCAGTGAGAGCACATGATAAGCCTTCTAAAGCCTTTGCTCAGAAAAAGAAAGCGGTTGCTCAGAAAAAGAAACATAACAAAATATTTATCTTGCATTCTTAAGAATGTACCATGCTCAATCTGCTGATCCAGTCTCTGTCTACCTTCAGATTGACTTGGGGTTTTCTATACCTATGCTTTGTAGCTGGCTTCCATTTCTTTTTATTTTATTTTATTTATTTTATTTTTTTGAGACAGAGTCTAGCTCTATTGCCAGGCTGGAGTGCAGTGGCATGATCCTGGCTCACTGCAACTTCCATCTTCCGGTTTCAAGCAATTCTCCTGCCTTAGCCTCCGGAGTAGCTGGGACTACAGGCGTGTGCCACCACGCCCGGCTAATTTATTTGTGTTTTTAGTAGAGACAGGGTTTCACCATGTGGGCCAGGATAGTCTCGATATTTTGACCTCGTGATCCACCCGCCTCGGACTCCCAAAGTGCTGGGATTACAGCCGTGAGCCCCTCCCCTCACCTTCCATTTATTTTATTCTCCTCCTGAGGGACTGTGTCAGAATGATGTCCTGGGGCTCCTAGGGCCCTTTGTTTCCGCTTTCCGGCCTCGGGCAGGATAGGGCCCCTTGTTTTCACTTTCCCGCTTCTGGCAAGCTAGGTAGGACCTTTGTTTCCGTTTTCCCGCCTCTGGCTGTTGGAGGTGGGGGCTCTGTGTCTCAGGGTTGTGAAATAGTAGCCAATCCGGTAAAGGATTCAAAGATCAATTACTCAAGAGGAAGTTTGAAAGAACCCCTCTCATTGGATGAGAACAGGAATGGGAATACCTCAGTGGTAAAAGCTCTAGCAGCCGGAGCCTGGGGTGGAATGTTTTCTGGGTCTCCTTCCATTGCAGTGTGGAAGCTGACCTTTCACTCTGCCTAATAAATGGCACTATTGCACACTTTTTGGGTCCACGAGTTCTATTTGAGCTGTAACACCGAGTCAGGGACACTGAGCCCTTTCCGCATTCTTCTGCTTTAGGAAGGCCAAGAGCGTAAGTTCCACCAGCAGCTCTGCTTCTGTCCTGGCCTAGCCATTAGGAGTCCTGGTTTTCACCCCGGTGGCCTGGGTTTGACTCCAGGTATGGGAACCAAGAAATCTGTAGCTGTTCTGATTACACTCCCTTTTGTAATTTCACCCTTTTTTTTTTCAAGGTTCACTTCAAATTCTGTCTCCCCTCTGAAGGCTGTGTTAGATGGAGTTTCCTTTGAAGCTGGACCTGAGATATGAATTGAATGCAAGAGCTTTATTTGGGAAGTGGTCCCGGGAAACAGTGGGCAAGTGAGAAAGGGAGAAAAGAAAGGTAATGGGACTAAAGAAGGGGATGTTAGTGAGCAGGTACCTCTGTGGGCAAACGAAGCTTAGTCTGGACTTCTGGGAAACTGCAGAGTGCCCTTTAGAATTGTTCCATCTAGAAAGCAAATTATTTTTTAAGTGCTGCCGGAAGGTGGGGAAGATACCATTAATTCCGAAGTGCATTTGGTCTATATAGCCCCATTTTTGGGCAGCTGCAATGGCCAGACTGACAGTCAAAGTTGCTTATAATAGGGAGCTATGTGGGAGGGGACCTGTGGGAGGGGCATGAGAACTGTGGACATATGATATGCCAAATAATATCCTCATTTACCTGCAAGTGTCTCTATGGTGTGGGTTATAGAAACACAAGTACACACAACTGCATACACATCTCTAATCTTTCCAGCTAGTAAGGCCAGTTCAGCATAGTGGGTATGGCTTTGTCACATTGTTTTTATTCAAAGCCTATTCAACAGTCTGTTACCTTGAGCCAATGCACCCCTTATTTCCAGGGTCATTGTGATGATTATATGAAAATTATGCAGTGAAACACTTGGTAAAGGTTGGCATTCCATAAAGCTGGTACTTCCCGTTTGACCACTTTCTTATGCATTCTTCCTAGCATTTTGGTCTTTTTTTTTTTTTTGAGATCGAGTCTCACTCTGTTGCCCTGGCTGCAGTGCAGTAGCACAATCTCAGGTCACTGCAACCTCTGACTCCAGGGTTCAAGCAATTCTCCTGTCTCAGCCCCCTAAGTAGCTGGGATTACAGGCGTGTGTTACCAAGCCTGGCTAATTTTTGTGTTTTTAATAGAGATGGGCTTTCACCATGTTGACTAGGCTGGTCTCAAAATCCTGACCTCAGCTGATTAGCCCGCCTTGGCCTCCCAAAGTGCTGGGATTACAGATGTAAGCCACTACACCTGGCAGCATTTTGGTCTTTTCAGAAGTTGATTGTGTCATGCATGTGCTCACCTACAGAAGAAAACGTGGACCCCATTCACTTAAGCGTATGTTTCTCCCTTCTCTTCTCCATGCCACCCCTATCACTACTCTTGCCCAGCTCCTATAGTTTATTTTTTCTCTTTAATCAAACAGAAACATTTAGGAAAACGATATAACATTATAGATGTAATTGAGTAATTGTTTTTCTTCTGATCCACTTTTTGTAACCCCTTGCTTAATTCCTCCTAGCTCACAAATGTAGAATACCAACCTCAAGGGGACCAGGAGAATAAAGTAAGGAGAATGCTCTTTTTGTCCTCTCTTTTAAAACTCTTCAAGAACTTTCTATGGGTATAGACTTTCCAAATTTCCATAGTGTACGTGTGGTAGGTAGCTTTGGTGTTTTCTTGGAGGCCCTAATATACTTAGCAGGTAAGATTTTGAAAGACTTCCAGGGGACTTGTTTTTCCTAGTGATAATCAGTCTGTCAGTTCTTTGAAGGCAGGGGCATGTTGGTTTTGGTGACCATGGTTTCTCAGGTACATTTTGCAAATCATATAGTTTTGAATTCATGAATTAGAAGTCTGAGTATATATCCTGCTACTTTTCAAAGCAGTGAGATTTTGAGAAAGTTTCTAATAATTTTCATTTGTAAAGTAGGATAATAGTGCCTACCTGGAAGAATTGTTGCAAGAGACTAATGGGAGATTGTGCTGGGGGAACCCAGCAAGTGCCGGGACAAGGGTCTGAAGCCTCTGCCTGTTCCCATATAAATATTGATTTAGAAAAGAATTAGAAATGTAGGCACATGGTGATTCCTTTATATAATTATATATAATCTTATAGTTACTCACTTATAAAGATATATACTTAATATAACCTTTAATTTTACTAATGACTAGACATGACTATCGGATTATGATGCATGGAACTGAGGTGACATTGTGAACAAAGTGATCTTAAGTCAAGATACTCTAAGCCCTCTGTCATGCCCACATAAGGGCTGCTGGAGGGCACCTCAGCTGTGCGGCAGTGCCAGTGCTGTGGAAGTGCCCGCTGTTTAGCCAGCTAGGGAAGGAAATGTCCAAAATAGCTGAGATATCTCCTTCCTGGGGGAATTAGGAGAAAACTCTGCTTCTCCAAGCTCTTGTGACAAGGCCTGACGGCTGTCAGGAGGCCTGCAGACATCCAGGGACTTAACCGTCTCTATGTGATGCTCTGCTTCAGTGATCACGTTCCATGTCTACTCTCACACCCTACTTCTACACCTGGTTTCTCTTTCTCTCAGAAGATAAGAATGAATGTCCTTGACATTTCTAACAAATGTGCAAAGAGCACTGACACATTAGGTTTTCTCCTGGGCTCCGCTGCTTGAAAGTCTTAGGCCCCCCGATCTCCAAGACATGTGATTTACCTGACCCTATCACCGACCACCATCACCTCACCCTACATTCCCTGCCCCCTGCTTTGTACTCAATAAAAGTCAGAGTGTCCAGGCACTTGGTGCCACTGCAGGTCTCCTTGCTTTGGTTGGCAGTGGATCCAGCCCAAACTCTCTTTTCTCTATCTCTGTGTCTGTGTCTCTTATTTCTGCAGTTTCCCGTCTCGGCACCAGCAGGGAGGGGTTCACAGAACCCTATGGTGCTGGACCCTATAGGAGATCCATGCAAAATACTCAGCATAATACATGATAGTAGGTCCAAAATAAGCATTAGTTTTCTTTCTACTCAACTCTTAAGGTTGCTTTTAAAACATGTAATGATACCATTCTTAAAGCTAATTAAAATGTGGGAGAAGCAAGAAGCAAGAGCATCCCTCTAGCTATGGAAGTACTTTTATTTGTTTCTTAAAAACCGTAGGGTTCTCTGGTGAATTTTAGTATAAAAAAAAGCAGAAATTTCTGAGTGGTAAGCACCATATGCTTTCCTGGATTTTATTTCACTTTATTTTTCAAAAGATGTCTCTTATCACATTAGTGCAAAGCCTATTTCAAAATGCTTCACAGAGCCTTTTTCAGTCTGTAATGAATTGTTGAAAAAAATGTTTAAATGAGCTATTAAAAACAGGAGTTTGTTGAATTGAATAAGAGCTATCCTTGGAAATGTGGTTCCAACTGAAAAAAAAAAAATCTACATGGAAGTGTTTATTGATAAAGGTTGTTTGATTAGCCCCGCCTGATGTATCTCACCTCATGATCTCCACAGGGTAGATTATATAATGTACATTGGTTTTGAAAACATATAATCCATTCTCCTTTGCTACAGTGCTTGTATTCCATGCTGACACATTCACTAAAACCCTGTCTGATATATCAAGCTCTTTAATTGGGCTTACTTGATAGTCTGGGAAAGAAAAAAGGACATTAGTGTCTCCTTTTTTGCTCCCTTGGGTATCTTTTAGAGGAATCTCTTTACAATAATGTACAAATAACTTTAAATATATATGTGTGCTTATGTGTATGTCACATTTTTTTTGTCTTGGATAACTATTCCAGCCAATTTTCAATTAATGAAACAATGTGCTGTATTCTCTCATAAGTAATGAGGTATGTGTTTGTTCTTATCTATAGCAATAAATGATGCCATTATTTCCAAATCTTTTTCACTTGTGTTTGCTTTCCATCACCACCTGGGCAAAACTCTGCCTTTTACTGATCTTACATTGCCCCCACGCTACTTCTCTGTAGGCACTTGGCAATTCAAGTTGTTCTTGACTTGTACTAAAATAAAGCCTTAATATTGTGGAATTTGTAAAGAGAATCAATTAAATTGCCACTCATCCAGTCTGAATATATTTGAGCATGTCATTGATTGTTCAGGATCACGGTAGCATTGATTTGGTTTTGGCAGCTCATGCCAATTAGAAAAGTTATGGACATGGCTGTCAGAGACATGATGCCGTCTTATTCAGTGATTTTACAGATGTGACAAAAATTAATTAGTTACACAGATAATAAAAACTACAGTCTCAAATTAGTTGCATTAAGTAATGAATATAGAAAGAAAGCTTATTTGTTTGGAGCCTCTAGCAAGAGAACTCCTCCTTTGTATAGCGATTAAGAATGTTTACTTTTACCTGGAAATTGATTAGAACTGCAGGTTTAGTATGACACAAACGAAGTAATGAAGAAGAAGATGAGCCTGTGGAGCTGATTAGTTACATCAACCATGGTGATCAATGGACCTGAGATGTCACAGGCAGATTCCATTTTCTTCTGGAATTTATTCCAAGCATTCAGCAAGTGACCTGGTAAGGGAAATAGGCAGCATTGACACTTAACAGCAAAGGGAGAGAAAGAATCCCGTGTCTGGGATTCTTTTACATGACAAATTTTGCCAAAGTCATCTCCTCAATCTGCTTTGGGAGTATGGAAACACCTTGGTGACATATTCATGAGTTATTATCTTTAGATTATCCAAATTTCTTTTCAAAAGG